TCTGGATGGAATCTTTTGTGAAAAATATATTATACTAGAGGCCCGGTGCACAAAAATTTGTGCACTCAGGGGGGAAGGGGGGGTTCCTCAGCCTGGCCTGTGCCCTCTCAGTCTGGGACACCTGCATTAGATTTCATTCCTATCCTCCGACTCCTTGGCAAGGCTCTGGGCCAGGTCTGCGTCTTTACCGCCTCCTTGCCCTCGGAATAAAATGACCGTCTTCTCCCGGCCTGCTCAAAGCAATCTTCCCTGCTCCCATCATGCTGCTCGGTGCTCCCAGCCACAGACCCATGAGCCATCCAACCCCTGCCGGCTGGGACGGGACGGCAGCAGGGCCCACCTGCGGCAGCGATTCCCTCCTCTTTGCCAGCCCGAGTGGCTCAAGCCTCGCTCACGCTCATCTTTAGTCCTTGCCGTGGGTTTCCCCGACTGGAGTTATCTCCGCAATGGCCACCTTTTAGCACCAGCTCTCCCTCTCACTTGCAGGTTGAAGTGGGACGTTTTCAGTAAGTTTGCTCTGATTGATTTCACAAACAGGTGGCTCACTTCCTAGTTCCTGACCATCCCTCCCTGAACCCCCCAGACACCTAGCAGGAGGGTCCACATCCGAGTGGGTGAGCATTTACGGTGCTTTGCACTTGCCTGTACATTGAAATTTTTCATAATAGAAAGTGGGGAAAAGGGCGTTTGTGGAATTGAATTCAAGGGGCGGTAAGGCCTCTGCTTCCATTTCACCTGGGGCTCTGGGCATTGGCAGCGGTCTTGGCTCAGAGTAGTTCCTCGTTTCCCAGACACTCAATTCCCTCCCAGTGGGACGCCGGGAAGGCACTGGGGCCGGGAGGCACTTGCTCCCGAGGGAAGCTGACTTCATGCTCCGGGGACAGTGGCCTGAGCACGCGGTGCACAGCCCGAGCCCGTGGCCACGCGGAGCAGGGCCTTGGGGTTTTGGAGCCAGTAACAGCCCAGCTAGTCCCTCACAGCCCAGAGCGCTGGTGAGAGTGAGGAACGCCCAGTCCTGAGCCAGTTTCTCAGGTCCCTGGGCCCTGCCCCCGAGCCCCAGCCGGGACCCAGCCCTTGCCAGCCCATGAAAAGGCACCCAGACCCCCTCACCAGCTGTCCCCAGGAGAGCTGCCCACTGCCTCTGAGATGTAGTGCCCTCGGGCGTCAGGCAGGGCACTATGGTGGCAACATGGGTGAAGCACATGGCGCAGCCCGACAGGGCAATGCTCCAGAATTTTTGATGCAGCTGACTCATAACAAAGAGTGGACTTCTCAAAAGTGTTGACGCCGAAACCGGTTTGGCTCAGTGGATAGAGCGTCGGCCTGCGGACTGAAAGGTCCCAGGTTCGATTCCGGTCAAGGGCATGTACCTGGGTTGCGGGCACATCCCCAGTAGGAGATGTGCAGGAGGCAGCTGATCGATGTTTCTCTCTCATTGATGTTTCTGACTCTCTATCTCTCTCCCTTCCTCTCTGTAAAAAATCAATAAAATATATTTTTTTAAAAAAAAGACCCAGTTAGCCCCTGAGGACTGCCCTTGAAGCAACAAGAGGTTCTCTTTTTTGATATTTTTCTCTCTCTGGATGAATCTTTTGTGAAAAATATATTATATATGTCCATCCCCCCCCCTTTTCATCTCAATGAAACAAATGTTCAACATAGTCCACTCAGGCTCATCAGAAAGGCAGTGGTACTGCGTGTGCCTAACACACGGAACCTTCACGTGACAGACACAGTGGCAGGCACAGTGTCTGAGGAGCTAACATCCTGCTGAATGCCCGTAACCACTGATGTTTTTCTCTCTCCCTCTCCCTGCTTCTCTGAAATCAATAAAAATATATTTAAACCGCTTTCTATGTGGCCATTTCAGTAGTCACTTCCGTCTTCAGGGTTTCTTCTGGAGGGCTGCGTTTCATGCCTAACTGGATCCTCTGTTTTATGGCCGTGGGCAGCGTCCTGCCCGCCACTTGCTCATATGCAGAAGGAGGTCGGGCAGCAAGTGCGCTCTCAGACCTTCCATCTGAACCCTCTGATTCGACAGGAAGTTTGAGGAGAGAAGGAGGATGGGTAGCTGGAGAGGCTGGGGAAGGCCGGCAGCATCTCAGAGCCCATACTGGGCTCAGTGATGTGACATCTGCTCCTTCACGGCACTCACGCAGTCCCGTGGGGAATACGCCCTTCAGTTCCTGAGCGTGAGTATGCGTGTGGTTACACAGAAACCTGGGTGAGCTGGTGACCGAGAAGGACAAATCCAAACGGACCCATGTTCTTCTCCCACGAAGGCCCTCCCCCCAGCGCTCCTGTGTTTAAGAAGGCACTGCGAGCGCCAGCCCCACCCTCCGTCTGCCTGGCATCCCTCGCCGCCTGAGAGGTAGCCAGGGCCCTTTGCACTGTCCCTTGGCTCCACGGGGCCTGAGAACACCTGCCCCACAGGTGACATTTATCTGTCCCGCAGGAAGGGGTCAGCAGCCTTTCCCCGGTGGCCTGGCCTTCCTACAACAGGCACTCAATAAATGTGTTGCATTGAACTTCAATCGCCCAAATCTGAAAAACAATTGATCCATCATTTATAATATAAACTATTAAGCATAAAGGCTGCATCTTCCTTTCCTTTTGTATCTTTTTAAAGTGCTCTGTATAGGGGCCAGCATACAGCAGGTGTTTCATTAATGTCCCCACACCTCTTTGAGTAACCTCCATACCTGGGCTTGGTAAGGGTGGGAGCAGGCAGTCCTTATTCTTAAGTGGGGACCGTTGACACACAGCTCTCTTTCGAATTAACAACCAACGCTTGCCCACTGGCCGCTCCCAAAGATTTGATCAGAAAACGTGGGGTAAAACAAGCGAAAAATAGAATGGAATGGGCAAAAGCTTCAACTATACCCTTGCTCTTCTCTGAGGCTTTATTTTTCCAATCCTGATTTAGAAATGTCCCCCGGCCCCCGCCTAGGCCAGCAGCTGGTTTTTCCTAATCGGTCATACGTCTTAGTAACAACAGGGCCTTCACAGCTGTTGCTGGGAATACTAGCGGGTGGGATAGTGCCCAGCACTAATTTACTGGTCCTACTGGTGCTTGAGAAAGGATCATGTTGATATGCTGCTAGTGAAACGGAAAGGTGCACAGGGAAAGGAGAAGTGGGCGGAGCGGGGAGGGAAGGAAGGAGAATTACTATTGTTGCCGTTGTCCCTCGCATAAATTTTATAATCACACAGTCCTGCCACAACCCTGTGTTGTGACAAAAGTCTACTCAAATCTCCAGGAGGATGGGAACGTTTTCAGTTTCGTTCATTTTCCTGTAAGATGAGGTTTCTGCGGCCAGTCTGACTGCTCTGTCCCCGGGCAGGGCTCCCCCTGATGTCGCAGCCTGGTAGCTGCCTGCGCGGTGGTCAGGCAGGGCCTCCCCAGCCAGGCTGGTCCCTCACGTCGCCAGCCCCAAGTTCAGCAAAAGGCATCTCAAACTCCCAACTTTCTATAGTTGGAAGAATGGCTATAATCCTGCTCATTTCTATATATACCTTTCCCCTGGCAACAACGACAAAAAAAACGTGAGGCAGGAGCTGCTTCTCAGCCTGTGGTGTGGTCATTCTCTTTCCAAATATAGAGAAGGAATGAGCCAGGGAGGTTAGCGGGGCCTATAAAAGCACAGCCAGCAGCAGCCCCTCCGTAGCTGCTCTCGTGGGCGGAGGTAAGTCACAGCCCCTCCGGCATGGCTCTCGCCTCCGTGCGGCCGAGCACTCCGGGCCGGGCCTGCCTGGCTTTGCTAAGGAACAGTTAGATGTGAAGGACAGGTCCTCCTCCCGCCTCCCCTCCCCATCACGGGCAGGATCCCTGGACTCTCCATGGCCCTCGGCCTGTCCAGTGGGATCACGGTCTACCTTTGCCTCTCTGAGTGGTGCAGGGACCACGGGATGTGGTGCCTTCCTGTGTACCCTCACCTTCCCCACCTACATGTGTGCCTGTCACATGTCCTGTCCTCCCAAGACCAACCACACTGTCCGGGTGTCAGTCAGCCGGTCTTAGAGGTTTCTCCCTGCCCCAGGCCTAGAGCCACAGCTTTTAGACAGAGATGCTGTTTTTATTGTCCACTTCTAATGGGAGGCATTGCAGACTGAACAACGGCCCAGAGTGGGCTGGTAAGAGCCAGGTTGGGGATAGTGGGGGCTTTTACTACCTTAATGGCTTACTTGTGGTTCCTGTCCCATCTGCTCCTCCAGCTTGTCTCTGGGGTAAGTTATTAGTCCTTTCTCCTTATTTACCTAATTTATCAAGAGCTGAATCGAAGCTGGACCGGACGCTGCCAGGTGCCCTGAGCTTTCCTCTTGCGTTCTTTGCAGGTCTGATTTCCCAGGCTGCTGCGGCCTCATTGTCTGTTCTGTGTCTGTGATTCTCAGGTGAGAATTCTGGCCACGTCCCTGGCTGGCGGGAACCTGGGAGCTCAGACCAGGACAGGGAGGCTAGAGAGGAGCGGAGGGGCAGCACTTAGGAGACCTCCCAAAGGATGCGAGGTCAGATGCGACTGCTGTTCTCAGCAACTGGAGCAGGGGTCCTCAAACTTTTTAAACAGGGGGCCAGTTCACTGTCCCTCAGACCGTTGGAGGGCCAGACTATAGTTTAAAAAAAAACTATGAACAAATTCCTATGCACACTGCACATATCTTATTTTGAAGTAAAAAAACAAAACGGGAACAAATACAATATTTGTATTTGCATGTGGCCCGCGGGCCGTAGTTTGAGGACCCCTGAACTGGAGGAAGCCCCGTCGCTTTCCTTGAGGGAGGAGGTGGCCACCTTCGTTCAAAATGGTTCAGAAGTTCCTCAGCTATTTGCGACTGAGCAGGATCTCTTTGAAGAACGGCCTTTGTTTTTTATGGTGTTTATTCTAAAGCTTCCCTGGGCAACACCTGGGTTTTAAAGGGAGTGAGGTCCCGAGAGGCTGGGCTCATCTCTAGGTCCCTCAGCCAGCCGAGCCTCCGATGACGAGGAGACGGGGTTGCATGTGCTCTGCTGATTTTCCCAGCACTTACGTCTGTGGGTGGGGCTCCTGGGACCGAGCACAGCCTTGTCCGGAGCCATCGTAGAGCAGAGGTGGGCAGGCCTGGGGCCCGCTGGGAGGCAGCGGCTCACGGTGGCTTGCCTTGCAGCTGGCGCCATGAGCAGCGACACTGAAATGGAAGTGTTCGGCATGGCCGCTCCCTTCCTCCGCAAGTCGGAAAAGGAGAGGATCGAGGCGCAGAACCAGCCCTTTGACGCCAAAACCTACTGCTTTGTGGTCGACTCGAAGGAAGAGTACGCCAAGGGGAAAATTAAGAGTACCCAGGATGGGAAGGTCACGGTGGAAACCGAAGACAACCGGGTAAGCCCTGTCCAGGCCCGCATGGCCTACTGGCTCTCCACCTGCTCCTCCAGGTCTGGTCCATGCATCGCCCCGGCCCAGGTGGCCCTGGTGCCAGCGTGCCTCTCACAGCCTCACTGCGAGCTTCCCTGGAGAAAGCACAGCACATGCCGGTGCAGGTGGGAGACCTGACGCGGCTGATGAGAGCAGTTAGTGCCCACGTGGCAGAACCAAGTCTCCCGCTGGCAGCACCATCGCCACCTGCCCCCAACCGTGTCTCCCTCGCTGCCAGTGGGCGTTTTCCCTGGTGCTCTCGGCTCACCAGCCTCTTGGCGGGAGACATGTCCGCAGGGGGCACCCGCGCAGAGGACCCCTGGTGAGCACCGTGCCTCCCCCCTTTCAGACCCTGGTGGTCAAGCCAGAGGACGTGTACGCCATGAACCCGCCCAAGTTTTGTTTGTTCATTTGTTGTTTTCAGTTTTATATCCTACCTATGAGTGAAATTATATGGTTCTTGACTTTCTCCGTCTGACTTATTTCACTTAGCATGATATTCTCAAGGTCCCTCCATGTTGTTGCAAATGGCAGTATTTCATCTTTTCTATGGCTGAGTAATATTCCATTGTATATAAAGAACTCATACAACTCAACAACAACAAAACAAATAATCCAATTAAAAAATGGACAGAGGACCTGAATAGACACTTCTCACAAGAAGACCTACAAATGCCCAACAGGTATATGAAAGGATGCTCAACTTCACTAGTGATTAGGGAGATGCAAATCAAAACCACAATGAGATATCACCTCACACCTGTTAGAATAGCTATCATCAACAAGACAAGAAATAATAAGTATTAAAGAGGTTGTGGAGAAAAAGGAACCTTCATTCACTGCTGTTTGGAATGTAAATTGGTACAGCCACTATGGAAAATAGTGTGGAAGTTCCTCAAAAATTAAGAAAAGCCCTACTATATGACCCCAAATCTCTCTTTTGGGTAGCTACCCCCCAAATTTGAAAATACTTATAAAGATATGTATACCCCTATGTTCATTGAAGCATTCATAGTAGCTAATTATTGAAGTGTCTTCTGATACTTGATATAACTTCTCATTGTCTTCAGGATAAAGCCCCAAACGTCTGAGATGGCTCCAACTCCTGCTTGATTGAGCCCCTCCCTCCCTCACCAGCCTCCTCAGGCCCCTTTGCCCCTTTGTTCAATGACAGTCTTCTCCCCTAAGCCAGCAACATCCATGAGGGCAGCACGGGAATATCTTGCTCCCTGGGAATATCACCACCATTGACCTGATAACCTGCACAGAGCAGGTGCTCATTGTTTGCTAAGTCAGCAGTTCTCAACCTGTGGGTCGCGACCCCTTTGGCGGTCGAACGACCCTTTCACAGGGGTCGCCTAAGACCATCCTGCATATCAGATATTTACATTACGATTCATAACAGTAGCAACATTACAGTGATGAAGTAGCAACGAAAATAATTTTATGGTTGGGTCACAACATGAGGAACTGTATTTAAAGGGCCAGAAGGTTGAGAACCACTGACCTAGAGAGAAGCCTAAGGCATTCTAGATAATCAATAAGTGATTGTTGAATGACTAATGAGCAAAAGTGGCAGGGATGCAAGGATCATCTTGCTCATGGCAAGGCAATTAGCAGCAATAACCTACAACTCATTACTTAAAATTGTATGTACTTTTCACAAAGATTTATGAATCAACGAAATGTCACCGTTACCAATTTTCTCATTAACATAGCAGAATGTGATACTCTATGCCTCTATTATTAGCATTCTGCAAATGAGGAAGGGGAAATGCAATAAGGGACCAGAACTGCCACTTTATATGTTGCAGCTGAGCCGTCCCTGGAGGTTTCTTTCATGCTAGACTGGCTCAGAAAGAGGCCGGGAACGATCATAGCCAGTAAAAAGAAAGCAATTTCCAGTACTAAAGAATTACATTACGCAGGCCCATAAAAGTTATCTTTGCAATAATTTTCTTGGTTTCCTACTTCGTCAAAATTCAAACCTTAAGAAATGGATCAAGGAGTGTTCTGTATCATTTTGAAACCTACTTTCAATACCATTTTAAACACAAACACATATAAGTGAAGGTGCCCAATTTGGTGTGTGACTTTAAAAAAAAAAAGTATGCCACCTTATTAGGTCCTATGATTTTCAGTGCATTTATACCACACCATTCATCCAATGGAAATAAAATGGAACTTGCAACTCTGTGACAGGGATGGGCTCACAGTCTACTTTCCGTCCATTCGGGAGGAGGGGGGTACTTTTATGCTCCACCAATGAGTTCTACCTACTGCGTCGCTCTCTATTGTTTGCCTGGATCTCCAAAATGCTAACACAACAAGCTGGGAAGTAAAATAGCGAATGAACTGTTTTGTGTCATTTCATGATGAGACATGCCTTGCAGTGGGTAAGGATTGGCAATGTGGGGAGTGAGGACCTGAGGTGGGCAGGTGGATCAGGAACCATTTACTGCTCGCCACAGTGGGAAGGAAATGAGAAATCAGTGTTCCCAAGAGCAAGTTGAGAAGAAATCAGCTACTAGATGTCACATGAGAGTAGGCAAGACATAGAGGAAGACAGTCTAGTAAGGAAGTCGGTGGTTAAGAAGCAAGAAGACATTGGGGATCAAGGATCCACAAAGATTGATAAGTAAAAGGACAAGTAAGCCATGTCAAGACTGACATCACTAATTAGAATGTCAGTTGGTTAGAGCTCAGCCTTTACTTCCTGCCATTCTCTACAAGTTTAGGAATTATAGGGGATGGGTGCTAATAAAACTCAGTGTTCACTTAGCACTGTACTCTCCCCCAGCTTGGGCAGGATTCAAGATGGCAGACAGCCTTCATTGGGAAAGGGGACTTGGGTGGCTTTATTCCTCCTCTTCTTGCTCACTTCTGTGTTTGCTGTCTCTTCTATTCTCTTCGATATTGCTGTGGGAAAGGGGGAACGAGGGAAGAGAATAGGCTCATTTTGACCTAAGCTGGATGGTTTCATGCCCTTTATCTGGCAGCCTATGAAAAGGTAGACCTGGAAGATGATTTCATTGGTGACTTCTGTGGGCTCCTGGAGAGTTCTGTTCTTCTGATGACCCAACAAGATAGATATTCTAAGTCAGGGGTCCTGAAACTTTTTAAACAGGGGGCCAGTTCACTGTTCCTCAGACCGTTGGAGGGCCGGACTATAGTTTAAAAAAAAACTATGAACAAATTCCTATGCACACTGCACATATCTTATTTTGAAGTAAAAAAACAAAACGGGAACAAATACAATATTTGTATTTGCATGTGGCCCGCGGGCCGTAGTTTGAGGACCCCTGAACTGGAGGAAGCCCCGTCGCTTTCCTTGAGGGAGGAGGTGGCCACCTTCGTTCAAAATGGTTCAGAAGTTCCTCAGCTATTTGCGACTGAGCAGGATCTCTTTGAAGAACGGCCTTTGTTTTTTATGGTGTTTATTCTAAAGCTTCCCTGGGCAACACCTGGGTTTTAAAGGGAGTGAGGTCCCGAGAGGCTGGGCTCATCTCTAGGTCCCTCAGCCAGCCGAGCCTCCGATGACGAGGAGACGGGGTTACATGTGCTCTGCTGATTTTCCCAGCACTTACGTCTGTGGGTGGGGCTCCTGGGACCGAGCACAGCCTGTCCGGAGCCATCGTAGAGCAGCGACACTGGGAGGCAGCGGCTCACGGGTGGCTTGCCTTGCAGCTGGCGCCATGAGCAGCGACACTGAAATGGAAGTGTTCGGCATGGCCGCTCCCTTCCTCCGCAAGTCGGAAAAGGAGAGGATCGAGGCGCAGAACCAGCCCTTTGACGCCAAAACCTACTGCTTTGTGGTCGACTCGAAGGAAGAGTACGCCAAGGGGAAAATTAAGAGTACCCAGGATGGGAAGGTCACGGTGGAAACCGAAGACAACCGGGTAAGCCCTGTCCAGGCCCGCATGGCCTACTGGCTCTCCACCTGCTCCTCCAGGTCTGGTCCATGCATCGCCCCGGCCCAGGTGGCCCTGGTGCCAGCGTGCCTCTCACAGCCTCACTGCGAGCTTCCCTGGAGAAAGCACAGCACATGCCGGTGCAGGTGGGAGACCTGACGCGGCTGATGAGAGCAGTTAGTGCCCACGTGGCAGAACCAAGTCTCCCGCTGGCAGCACCGTCGCCACCTGCCCCCAACCCTGTCTCCCTCACTGCCAGTGGGCGTTTTCCCTGGTGCTCGCTCCGGACCGCGGCTCACCAGCCTCTTGGCGGGAGACATGTCCACAGGGGGCACCCGCGCAGAGGACCCCTGGTGAGCACCGTGCCTCTCCCCTTTCAGACCCTGGTGGTCAAGCCGGAGGACGTGTACGCCATGAACCCACCCAAGTTCGACCGGATCGAGGACATGGCCATGCTGACGCACCTGAACGAGCCGGCCGTGCTGTACAACCTCAAGGACCGCTACACCTCCTGGATGATCTATGTCCGTGCCCGGGGCGCCCTGGGGCTGCGGGCAGGTGGGGTAGGGGGAGAGGCCTGTGCAGTGATGGGATCTGGAGAGATTCCTGTTTGACTAAGCTGTTGAACAAAAGACAGGAAATGGAACCAAGAAGAGGAAAGGGCGAAGAGAAGCTAGAAGATGAGAAAGCGAGGATGAATGGGACAGGAAGGAGAGGGGCTGGAGGAAGGAGGGTGGAGCTGGAGGTTCCAGCGGGGGAGCAGGAACCACAGGCTTTGGGTCTCAGCTGTCACTCACCAGCTGTGGGTGGCCCAGCCACGCCCCTGCTTGAGTCTCAGGGGCCTCACCTGTAAATAGAAATTACATGTTTCCTCCTCTACTAATTGATTGTGAAAAAATAACAAAGGCAAGGTTTTATATACATACACATGCATATATGCTTTTAACCCTCCCACAGACCTACTCGGGCCTCTTCTGTGTCACCGTCAACCCCTACAAGTGGCTGCCGGTGTATAACCCGGAGGTGGTGGATGGCTACCGAGGCAAAAAGCGCCAGGAGGCCCCGCCCCACATCTTCTCCATCTCTGACAACGCCTATCAGTTCATGCTGACTGGTAGGTTTCTGGGAGGAAGCCTGGAGTGGTGAGCAGGCTCTGGACAGGGTTCCCGAGGATCACCACGTGGTCCTGAGCCTGCCCTATTCGGCCTGTGACCTCCGCACAAAGGAGAGGGGGGTAAAGATGCTTAAAGAGCAGAAAGGGGCCAGTTCTCCGAGCCCCTTGCAAGCCCTGGTGAGAAGTGTGCATTTAATGCAAGTACTGGTTAAACCCTATGAAACTAAGATTTCTATGGGCCAAAACATTATTGACAATCTCATACGGTTCAACCCAATACAATCAGAAGCCACTGCCCGGTGACAAGCCACTGGCTGATTTTAAGCAGAGGCTTAACCCCTCTGAGCCTCATTCTCCAGCTCCCACATTGGACTAAACCAGTGGTTGGCAAACTGCGGCTCGCAAGCCACATGCAGCTCTTTGGCCCCTTGAGTGTGGCTCTTCCACAAAATACTGACTTCTGCGCATGGGCCACAAAGTTTCAATCGCACTGTACGTGCACACCCGCACGTGGTATTTTGTGGAAGAGCCACACTCAAGGAGCCAAAGAGCCGCATGTGGCTCTCGAGCCGCAGTTTGCCAACCACTGGACTAAACTAACTGCGAGAGGGCAGAGGAATTGTGCATTGAACCGTGACTGCTTGAGAGGTGGGGTAAAGGGGGAAGCTCTTTTTATATTGCCATCAGCTCCGTTTTATTTTTGCTTTTGGCAGATCGTGAAAACCAGTCCATCCTGATCACGTAAGTGTCCGGGCGCAGGGCAGTGTCAAAGCCGTGGCTGCTGTCCCCGGTGCAGGAGGCAGCGGCTCCACGTGCTCTGTTCTGTCCACTGGAAAGTATTTAGAACAAAGTCCAAGCGAAAGATCGACTTGGGGTGGGCGGGAAGATACATGGGAGGCCTCAGAGCACTGGATTGCCCACCCCTGGGTCAGCTCAGCCGTGGTGGGCTTCCCTGGGCCTCTGCCTCTCTGTGTGGTACATGTGTGTCTGACGTGGCTCACAGTATGTCCAGGCCTCCGTGTGGCATCTTGGAGAGACCGTCTACGCTAACAGAACTGGTTTGTTTCTCTCTCTCTCTCTCTCTCCCTCTCTCTCCCCCAACAGCGGAGAATCCGGGGCAGGGAAGACTGTGAACACCAAGAGGGTCATCCAGTACTTTGCAACAATTGCAGCGACTGGGGACCTTGCCAAGAAGAAGGACTCCAAAATGAAGGTGAGGAGATGAGGGAGGCTTGCTGTGTCTCTACGGCTGCTACCCGTTGTCTTAATTCCTGGTGAGGGCACGGGAGGCAATACCCCTTCCCCAGGAAAGGCGAGCAGGCCAGGAGTTAACCCTGAAGGACAGCAGCAACTTAGGTGGCCCGTGCAGGGCTGATGGCACAGGACCAGACCCTGTCACTGTTCTGGAAAGGGAGGCTCTGAGGAAGGTCCGCTGGGAGCATCGCAGGGAGCTCCTTCTTTTATGGCAGAACCAATCCCCCCTCTCGAGAGAACTGCAGCGGGTACTCCCTTTCTAAGTGAAAATATTACAACGGTTAGAAGTGAATCAGACAACCTAACTGACTGGAGAGTCAAGGAATGCAGTATTAAAAGAACTTCAAGTCAAGTCCCTCACTATAGCTAAATAGAGCAACGTGGCAAAGGTGTGCCAAGTGAGACGTGCTGTTGATTTGCTTCGGCCTCAGATTGGCAAGGGGGAGGGAGGGACTGGCTGTGCCCTGACTGCCAGGCGCACAGACAGGCAGGAGCGACTAGGGGGGAAGCATTGCTTACCGCCGTTCCGTGGCTCCTACCTCCCTTGCCCCGTGCCCAGGGGACTCTGGAAGACCAGATCATCAGTGCCAACCCGCTGCTGGAGGCTTTCGGGAACGCCAAGACCGTGAGGAACGACAACTCCTCCCGCTTTGTGAGTCCGAGTCCGCATACGCTGCGGTTTTCTCTGTGGCTTATGAGACAAGCAAGGTCCCCGTCCTCACAGAGGTTACAGTCAGAGGGAAGAGACAGTGAAAGAACAAAACAAATCAGCAAGATGATTTCCGATAATGATACATCTGTATAAAGTTCAACAAGCAGGGCCTGTGATAGGGTAATGGGGCAGGGTCTCCTTCAGACGGTGTCCAGGGGAGGCCGCCAAGACCGTGAGGAACGACAACTCCTCCCGCTTTGTGAGTCCGAGTCCGCATACGCTGCGGTTTTCTCTGTGGCTTATGAGACAAGCAAGGTCCCCGTCCTCGCAGAGGTTACAGTCAGAGGGAAGAGACAGTGAAAAAACAAAACAAATCAGCAAGATGATTTCTGATAATGATACATTCGTATAAAGTTCAACAAGCAGGGCCTGTGATAGGGTAATGGGGCAGGGTCTCCTTCAGACGGTGTCGGCAGGGGAGGCCTCCAGGTGAGGGGGGGGGACGTGAACCCTGAGCTCTGCAGGGTGCGGAGGAACAAAGGACAACACAAGACGCTGACATAGGAGGGGGCCTGCTGGTAGGGGAGCAGCTGCAGAGAGCTGGGCAGGGGGCGCCCATGAGGTGAGGGGAGAGGCAGAGAGACCTGTAGACCGGGTACCTGTAGACCTTGAGGAGGAGTTTGGATTTCACACAGGAAGCTCCGGAAGGATTCTACAGGCAGGGAAGTGACATGGTTTGATTTGCATCTCGAAAAAGACCAGTCTCTTACCTTGTTGGCTGCACGTGTGGGGTGGTTTGGAGGGAGCGTGGAATAAAGGAATGGGGAGGAAGGCACATCATCTGGAAAGAGGAGGAGGGAGGAAGAGGAGGACATAAGTAATTTCCAGCCACAGGGAATAAGGCTCCTATTACCTGGCCCAGGAGGCTGCTGGGACGCTTGGAGCCATGGTAAACGCTGGGCTCCCTGTCCCCACAGGGCAAGTTCATCCGAATCCATTTCGGCACCACGGGGAAGCTGGCCTCTGCAGATATTGAAACTTGTAAGTAGATGCTCGGGACCGGATGTCTCAGGGAGGGGGGGGGTGGGCAGCTTGGAAAACAGTGCTGTGTGGTGTTCACAGATCTGCTGGAGAAATCAAGAGTGACTTTCCAGCTGAAGGCTGAGAGAAGCTACCACATCTTCTACCAGATTCTTTCTAACAAGAAGCCGGAGCTCATAGGTGAGCAAGTCCCCAGCAGGGCTGGTCTTTCAGGCACTTCGGCTCTGACATCACTGGTCCAGGTAGAGCCGCACCTATATACATAGAGGACTCCACAGACAGCAAAGTTTGTTTTCAAAATGAGATGTAGGTATATTGACAGTGACGTGCCCATTTGAAAAAAATAAAACAAAACAAAACAAATCCGATGGGCAGCAACAGATGAAACCACTACTGAACTCAGCGCTGGTTTATAAAAGCCTTTTGAGCAGCTAAACATTTAATTGACATGTAGCGCCCCCTTGTGTTCGAGCACAGAAACCCATCTTTCACCAAATGCTGTGAGGCCAGTGCAAAAATCAATGAGCAATCCAGCCTGTGGAGCGTCCCTGCCCTTTGTTCTGCACCTAAAGGGGCTTGTGCACACGCTCTTCCACACCCTTTGGCTGTGTTTGCTCAGCCTTCTGGTTCCAAGCCTGGGAACAGGCCGCAGCTTTTCAACCTGTGCTCCCCTCCTCCAGACTCTGCCAGCTTCCCTTTTACCTGCTCTGAACCTTCTTCACGAAGCGCCATTTGCATGCAGAGCAAGACTTTAAATACTGCACTCTGCCTGGGTTCTTCCTCTACACTGCATGGGCCGGCTGCACTGTCTTCCCCGCACACTTTACATCCAGGCAGAGCCTGAGCACCGAGAGGCTGTTTAGAGATCTCTAACTCTAACTCTAACTCTAACTCTAATTCTAACTCTAAATCCAATTTGGGCTCCAGCAGTAAGAGTTTCAAACCTGAACATAAGAGCTCAAACCCTCTGGTGGATGTTCTCTTCGAATCTATGCGACCTCCTCTAACTACTCATTTCAGAGCTGCTGCTGATTACGACCAACCCTTACGACTACCCGTTCATCAGCCAGGGCGAGATCCTGGTGGCCAGCATTGACGATGCGGAGGAGCTGCTGGCCACGGATGTAAGTAGAACAGAGAGAGGTACAGGGTGCTCGTCCTGGCCCCTGGGGTCAGCCGGCTGACGTGCCGTTCTTTCCATGCCAGAGTGCCATTGACATCCTGGGCTTCACTGCAGAGGAGAAGTCCGGGCTCTACAAGCTCACGGGCGCCGTGATGCACTATGGGAACATGAAGTTCAAGCAGAAGCAGCGGGAGGAGCAGGCAGAGCCTGACGGCACCGAAGGTACAAAGTCACCGAGACAGGGTGTGAGCCAAGCATGTTAAACTCCAGCTGGCGGGCTACATGCCGCGAGTTTGACATGCTTGGTGTAAGCCAAGGTCGGTGGGTGTTTGACTGAGGCTGTTTGAACCTCTTCAGAAGGGCTCAGATGCCTGTAGGCACTGGTAGCACCCATGTTTGCCGAACGGCTAGAATGGCCCGGTTTCAGCTGCAATGAGCAGTGATCGGAGCTTTCTGGAACCCCTCTGCCTTTCAGACAATCTGCCATGTTCTCGGGGGGACTTAGCTTCCAGTGGCCGCATGTACGCCGTTTAGAGATACGAAAAGTAAAACCCCCTGAGACAAACGGAGCCACCTCTGCAGCATCTAGCTGACTTTCAAAGCGTCTCTTCTTCGTTGCCAACTTCAGGGCTTCCCTTTGAACCGTCTTTCTTCTCTTGGCAGTGGCTGACAAGACAGCCTACCTGATGGGCCTGAACTCCTCAGACCTCCTGAAAGCCCTGTGCTTCCCCCGGGTGAAAGTCGGGAATGAGTACGTGACCAAAGGTCAAACTGTGGACCAGGTAGGCGGCCCTTCGGGGCAGGGAAGGGATGTGGGTCCACGACGGCCGCTGCCGGCGGGCTCATCCTGGTCTTGCCCACAGGTCCACCATGCTGTGAATGCCCTTTCCAAGTCAGTTTACGAAAAGCTGTTTCTGTGGATGGTCACTCGCATCAACCAGCAACTGGACACAAAGCTGCCAAGACAGCACTTCATTGGGGTTTTGGACATCGCTGGCTTCGAGATCTTCGAGGTTTGTGTTGCTCGTGTTCATGCTTTCATGTGGCCCGTGTGAGGGAATTGGTTCTCATGATTCCGTGGGGGCGATGTTGAGGTGGCCGCCATGTCACAGCATCACATCTTGTAGGAAAACTAGATGGAGGGTGAATCAAGTAGAAGAGAATGTGAGGAGGGTTTGTATGAGTTTAAGAGGGGGTTGTATTACTTTAAGAGAGGGAAATATTTGTGTCAAGTACAATTTTAAAGGCTTAGCCCAATGAATAAAAAAATATCTCAAATGTAATTACTGACTTAGGGAGAGCCAAGCAAATAATTTGATAATAAGCCAATCATGCAATATTTTGCATAAATATCCTCCTAGCATAGAGCCATTCATCAGAGTGTATATTGGTGTCTACCAGATAGAAGACATGCAGGTAAATAAAAGATGAGCTTGCAGTCTGCAGAGGAAGGTGAGAAGTATATAAGGCGCACTGGGGAGTAACTACAAAATAAGACTCTGTGGTGGGTGCACAGGCGAGGACCCGGCCCTGGGAGCTCAGGAGAGGGAGACACACCTGCTAGACGGAGGTGCAGAGGAGACTCCAAAGAGGAGACATGGCCTGAGCTCGGCCCTGGAGACTGTGACCATATCTGAAAGCGAAATGAGCTGGCTGGAGCCGAGCAACGAGGGGGGAGGTGGATGGGTCTTTGCCTTAGAAAGAAGTCTAACTTTTCACATGACCATTGCATTTTGGTGTTAGTACAACAGCCTGGAGCAGCTGTGCATCAACTTCACCAACGAGAAACTGCAACAGTTTTTCAACCACCACATGTTCGTGCTGGAGCAGGAGGAGTACAAGAAGGAAGGCATCGAGTGGACGTTCATCGACTTTGGGATGGACCTGGCTGCCTGCATCGAGCTCATCGAGAAGGTATCCTGTCTGTCCACTCAGTGGCCTCTCCTCGCACCCTCTGCCGTTCACCACCTCAGCTCTTGTTTACCACATGCATTTCGCCCTAATCTAGCCCATGGGCATCTTCTCCATCCTGGAGGAGGAGTGCATGTTCCCCAAGGCCACAGACACCTCCTTCAAGAACAAGCTGCATGACCAGCACCTGGGCAAGTCCAGCAATTTCCAGAAGCCCAAGGTCATCAAAGGCAAGGCCGAGGCCCACTTCTCGCTGGTGCACTACGCGGGCACCGTGGACTACAGCGTCTCGGGCTGGCTGGAGAAGAACAAGGACCCCCTGAACGAGACCGTGGTCGGGCTGTACCAGAAGTCCTCCAACAGGCTCCTGGCTCACCTCTATGCCACCTTTGCTACCACGGACGGTAACCGACTCCCCAGAGTGCCCTGTAGTCATGCCTCCTCCTTCCAATTCAGCCCACAGGACCCCCAAATCCCTAGTGGCCTGCTAACAAGCGTGCGCCAACGTCATTTCTTCCAGTTGACAGCGGAAAGAAGAAAGTTGCCAAGAAGAAGGGCTCTTCCTTCCAAACTGTCTCTGCCCTTTTCAGGGTAAGGAAAACACGTGTTGATTTGCTTGTAGCTGGTGTGAGTCATTGCAACATGAGCAATGGAGAGATTCTAAACTCGTTTATTCGAGAACAGCAGTGTGGTCTTAATCTGGTCACTGTCACTTGGTGAGGTGCTGGTGTGATGATGTTTAAGGGAGGTCTGACAGAGGTAGGACTGGAACTTAGGGATCATTTGGTTCTGTAACTAGCTGGGCTGGCTGGCCTGGGAGTGGATCCTCCGCACAAACTTTCTCACTTGCCCGAGGGACACGGGCAGGAGCACCTCATTCACCCAGGGGGCTGCATACATCTCTTGCATTGATTTCAGAGGGCATTTTCTACTTCGTTAGTCTCTGGCCCGCTGTGAAACAAAAGACTATTAAGATATAAGGTTGTGGGTTTTGTGTGTGTGTGTGTGTGTGTGTGTGTGTGTGTGTGTGTGTGTTTTGCCCACTCCTCTAGCCATAGGACTATTAAAAGAAAGAGTTAAATAGCTCCATCATTCTTCAGAATCCATGATAAGTGTAAAATATGAATCTTACTTTTCATTACAATATTTCTCTGTGTTTGTAAAAGCCTACAGTAAGCTGTTGAATTTAATCTTTTTCTTTCAGGAAAACCTGAACAAGCTAATGTCCAATTTAAGAACTACGCACCCTCACTTTGTGCGCTGTATAATTCCCAACGAAACCAAAACCCCAGGTGAGACAGCAGCCGCTCTCTGGGCGGTGGCCGGTCTCCGGAAATGCTGTGCGGAGCTGACGTCCTTGCTTCTTTCCTCAGGGGCCATGGAGCACAGCCTGGTCCTGCACCAGCTGCGCTGTAACGGGGTCCTGGAGGGCATCCGCATCTGCCGGAAGGGCTTCCCCAACCGCATTCTCTACGGGGATTTTAAACAAAGGTGTGTCATAAATATTCTACACGATTCTTGATAAGATGTGCACATACTGAAATTTGAGAGAGAGAAATACTGATGAAAAAAAAAAACACACTTCAACAGAACAGTTAGGGACCTTCCGTGTAATATGAATAACCTTCCACGTGGCCACAGTGTACATCCTTCCTCCACGTTTTCTCAGGAGCTTATCTGATGAGCACATGGCAGAAAGCACCTGGACTGGGGATCGGGAGGCCTAGCCTCTAGGCCAGTGATGGCGAACCTATGACACGCGTGTCAGAGGTGACACTCGAACTCATTTTTTTGGTTGATTTTTCTTTGTTAAATGGCATTTAAATATATAAAATAAATATCAAAAATATAAGTCTTTGTTTTACTATGGTTGCAAATGTCAAAAAATGTCTATATGTGACACGGCACCAGAGTTAAGTTAGGGTTTTTCAAAATGCTGACACGCCGAGCTCCAAAGGTTCGCCATCACTGCTCTAGGCCGTGACCCAGCATGTGATTACGGCGGCTTTCTTTCTCTTTCTGGACCTTGGCTTTCTTCACAGGAAGAGAGACTGAACTGGACAGTCTCCAAGGTTAATGATTTTGCTAATAGTCTCTGATTGCTTCTGTGTCTACAATGGCAGATACCGAGTGCTGAATGCCAGTGCAATCCCAGAGGGACAGTTCATCGACAGCAAGAAAGCTTGTGAAAAGCTGTTGGCCTCCATCGATATTGACCACACTCAGTACAAATTCGGACACACCAAGGTGAGCCTCAGTTCTGACAGCTGCTGGCCTTGAGCCCCTTGTCGACTTCCGCAGACACGGACTCACGCCGTCCCTCTCCCCTCTAAGGTGTTCTTCAAAGCTGGCTTGCTGGGAACCCTGGAAGAAATGCGTGATGACCGCCTGGCCAAACTGATCACTCGGACACAGGCTGTGTGCAGAGGGTTTCTCATGCGTGTGGAATTCCAGAAGATGGTGCAGAGAAGGTGAGTGGGGTCTGTATTCAAACATGAGGTCTTCTGAGGATGTTTTGGGGGTGGGTGTCTCTCTGAGAAATAACCATATTTTGTTTTTAGGGAGTCCATCTTCTGCATCCAGTACAACATCCGCGCCTTCATGAACGTCAAGCACTGGCCCTGGATGAAGCTCTTCTTCAAGATCAAGCCCCTCCTCAAGAGTGCGGAGACCGAGAAGGAGATGGCCACCATGAAGGAAGAGTTCCAGAAGACCAAGGATGAACTGGCCAAGTCGGAGGCCAAGAGGAAGGAGCTGGAGGAGAAGCTGGTGACTCTCGTACAAGAGAAGAATGACCTGCTGCTCCAAGTACAGGCTGTATGTGTTTAGAAATCTTTTTGTTTTTCACTTTTCTTCTAGAATCGATTATTTAAGAAAACTAGAATTTTGGTGGAAGTTTTGCTTTTCAGTTCAGATGCTTCATAAAGAACTTCATATATAACAAAATACTGGAATGTCACACGCCTTATCTCATTAAAGCAAATCATGATTCTTTTCTTAAAGGAAAGTGAAAACTTGTTGGATGCCGAGGAAAGGTGTGATCAACTGATCAAAGCCAAATTCCAGCTGGAGGCTAAAATCAAGGAGGTGACCGAGAGAGCTGAGGATGAGGAAGAGATCAATGCTGAGCTGACGGCCAAGAAGAGGAAACTGGAGGACGAATGTTCAGAACTGAAGAAAGACATCGATGACCTTGAGCTGACACTGGCCAAGGTTGAAAAGGAAAAGCATGCCACAGAGAACAAGGTACTCTGTGGGTCTTTCCCGTATGATGTTGTCATTGCAAACCAAGCTGTATCTCTTCTTACAGTTGCTTGTGGCTTCTTCTTAGGTTAAAAACCTGACTGAGGAGCTTGCTGGGTTGGATGAAACCATCGCAAAGTTAACCAGGGAGAAGAAGGCCCTCCAGGAGGCCCACCAGCAGACCCTGGATGACCTCCAAGCTGAAGAAGACAAAGTCAATTCTTTGAGTAAAACCAAGAGCAAACTGGAACAGCAAGTCGATGATGTAAGTAAACACTGCTAGTTGGCAGTCCTAGAACTTCAGGGTTGAAAGGGCTGCCCTCCCCCCGCCCCAACCCTCTGGCGTAAAAGCATTTGTTCTCAAAAAGGAAATGATGCCTTTTGCAGCTGGAAAGCTCCCTAGAGCAAGAAAAGAAGCTCCGGGTAGACCTGGAACGGAACAAAAGGAAGCTGGAGGGAGACTTGAAGCTTGCCCACGAGTCCATATTAGATCTGGAGAATGACAAGCAACAGCTGGATGAAAGGCTCAAGAAGTATGCGCTCAAACCACTGGTTTCAATTTTGCAACTTACCGAGTGATTTACATTCTGCAAGTTAACTGGTTTTTTGTCTTCACACATTCTCCATTTCCCTTCACAGGAAGGATTTTGAATATAGTCAACTGCAGAGCAAAGTGGAAGATGAGCAGACCCTGGGCCTCCAGTTTCAGAAGAAAATCAAAGAGCTCCAGGTAGGAGGTGTTGGGGATTTCTCTTTTCCATGCGGTCACTCACAGTGCACTGGGTGTTCTGTGCTACAAGCCATTTTGAGCAAGTGGTCATGCCATGGGCCTGCCTGCCTCAGCAGTTTCCTTTCTGCTAGGCTGCCAGAGCATGTGAATAATGTTTTATATAATCTTAAGTAAAATCCATAATTGAAGTATTTGAGTCAACAGTTCATTGGATGGACAATATCCTGGGTTGATCACTGCGGGGTAAGGACCATGTTGGTGCAGGAAGAGGTCATATTAAAGAAAATCAGCAATCTTCCTAGCTCTCTGGGAGCGGTTCCAGAATTGGTCTGTTAATGGGGATGGAAACTAGCCTGCTCTTGGCATGCCGAGTGAGTGGCTCGGGGGCTGACTGGCTCACAGGCTCGCATCGAGGAGCTGGAAGAAGAGATTGAGGCGGAGAGGGCGACCCGTGCAAAGGCAGAGAAACAGCGCAGCGACTACGCCCGGGAACTGGAGGAGCTGAGTGAGCGGCTGGAGGAGGCGGGAGGCGTCACCTCCACCCAGATCGAGCTGAACAAGAAGCGGGAGGCCGAGTTCCTGAAACTGCGCAGGGACCTGGAGGAGGCCACCCTGCAGCACGAAGCCACGGCGGCTGCTCTGAGGAAGAAGCACGGGGACAGTGTGGCCGAGCTTGCCGAGCAGATAGACAACCTGCAGAGGGTCAAGCAGAAGCTGGAGAAGGAGAAGAGCGAGTTCAAATTGGAGATCGACGACCTCGCCAGCAACGTGGAGAGTGTGTCGAAATCCAAGGTACCTGGGCACAATGCTTTGGATGCAAGAGACCTCTTGGGTCATTCAAATCTCAAGACTGACTTACTTTTCTCCTCTTTCTCAATCCTTTAGGCAAATCTGGAAAAAATATGCCGAACTCTGGAGGATCAGCTAAGTGAGGCCAGGGGCAAGAACGAGGAGGCTCAGAGGAGCATGAGTGAGCTGACGGCACAGAAGTCTCGTCTTCAGACAGAGGCTGGTGAGTGATGGAAGATGGGGAGGGGCGCCACCTCAGGGAGCTCTAACAGGGGCAACTGGGCAAAACAAAAGAGTCGACTTTGTTTGGGGGAGAATTTCTACAAAAGTACTTTTTCAGGAAAGAAACTATTGAAATAACCCAGAAAAAGAGCTGCTCAAAATATTCTGAAGGAGGAGAACAGAGTGCGAGTTCAGTAAAAACAAGAGAGAGAAGTAGGCCAGAAAGAGAAGGGACTCAAACTGTCATGTGGTTGAAACTTTCAGAAGGAATAGAACCTGGGCTGAAAGAGGCTGAGAGGCAGAACTCGGGTTAGAACCGAGCCCCAGGGCTTTCCTACTTCTTGCTGCACGTGTTTTCAGATTGTCTGCGATCAAGACAATAAGGAAAGGAACATGGCCACTTTGCACGGGCTCTTGGTGTGCACTAAATATCAGGGGACATTATTGGGGGCTTTCCCTGGGAATGTGGCTTCCCCAGCCCTGGTCCTGTGGCCCATCATCACAGGTGGACCAATCCCTCACCAGCAGCCACAACAAGGCAGTGAAGACAGGAAGCTTAGTTGCCATTCCAAAATAACCTTCGGGTTCTAGAGTCCTAAAGCCTCTCACCCCCTCCTTTCTTCTCTTACCTCCATATACATGCAAACCTGAACTTAGCATATTCATCCAGGAGACTACCTTCAAACCGTTAGAGATAGCGAGTCCTTGGAAAAGCACTATTTCCCTTAATGACAAATCAACAAACAGCTGGAAACACCAGCCACTGGGAGGTCTGGAGGGAGTGTTTCCATGTTCCTGGTCATGTCTAAATTTACACTTGTCCCCATGAGTTATGTTGACAGAGCCACTTCACATTTCTAGTCATTCACAACAATACTTATCAGGTCGGGCTTTCATTTTCCTTCTCACGGACTCACCCCTTCACCCCCAAGAAAGGACCACACCTTATCATTTACTCTCTCCCCAGATCTTCTTACAGTGCCTTACACACTATAGGAACTTGCTAAGTGAATGAATTAATGGGTGCACTCATGAAACCTTTCTTTCTGGACACAGGGGAGCTGAGTCGCCAACTGGAAGAAAAGGAAAGTATAGTATCCCAACTCTCTAGGAGCAAGCAAGCTTTCACCCAGCAAACAGAGGAGCTCAAGAGGCAGCTGGAGGAAGAGAACAAGGTACTATCTGAGCGAGCGCTTCTCTGAGCTAGTTTTCAAGTACCACCGGGCAACTTTGTTCAGTAGGTGCTGAGAGGAGGAACAGACTTGGATTGTGACATGCAAGCGGCGTTAAAATATCAATCCCCCAGGGGCTCCTCTCTTTCTTAACCATTTTTAGGCCAAGAACGCCCTGGCCCACGCCCTGCAGTCCTCCCGCCACGACTGTGACCTGCTGCGGGAACAGTATGAGGAGGAGCAGGAAGCCAAGGCCGAGCTGCAGAGGGCGCTGTCCAAGGCCAACAGCGAGGTTGCCCAGTGGAGGACCAAATACGAGACGGACGCCATCCAGCGCACAGAGGAGCTGGAGGAGACCAAGTGCGCAACTCTATTTACCTTTAGAACTTGAACCCTTAAATGAGCAGTTCTCAACCTGTGGGTCGCGACCCCTTTGGGGGTCCAACGACCCTTTCACAGGGGTCGCCTAAGACCATCGGAAAACACATATATAATTACATATTGTTTTTGTGATTAATCACTATGCTTTAAGTATGTTCAATTTGTAACAATGAAATTGGGGGTCACCACAACATGAGGAACTGTATTAAAGGGTTCACGGCATTAGGAAGGTTGAGAACCACTGCGTTAAATGATCATGTGATAGAGGGCACTGACTTTAGAACTGCTAGGGAATGAACTTGTTTTGTGACTAGATGTCCCCCCATCTCACGCCTTTGCGTGCGGTGCTGTGCCATTGGAGGACCGCCTTTGCGCGTTTCCTAAGACAGGCCACTTGGATCATGGCTAGAGGCAGGGCAGGCTGTGGGTCACTGATTTCTAGCAGCCAGGAGGCTCTCCTGAGCTTAGGAGAGCAAATGCACGTTTGAATCACAAGGTTAGTGATTCCAACATGATGAATAGTGATGTCCAAGAGGCTGGAAACTGAAACAGCATCTGCTTCTCTTTCCCATCCTCCAAGGAAAAAGCTCGCTCAGCGCCTTCAAGATTCCGAGGAACAGGTTGAGGCAGTGAATGCGAAGTGCGCTTCCTTGGAGAAGACCAAGCAGAGGCTGCAAGGGGAGGTCGAGGATCTGATGGTGGACGTGGAAAGAGCCAACTCCATGGCCGCAGCTCTGGACAAGAAGCAGAGGAACTTTGACAAGGTGCGGGGTCAGCCCTGGGCGGGGTCAGCCCTGTGCTGCCGAACACTGTGATGCGGGGAATGCCTGTGGTTTGTGAGGAGGAGATGGGGTCCCCTCCTGCCCTGCAGCACAGGGCCCTGTGAGGTTGGGCCAGTCCCCGAACTTCACTGAGCTCTGGTTTCCTCCTCTGTAAAATGAAATGGGAGTGGGATGGGGCTGGAGTTCCTTTCAAACATTGGCAGTGGAGACAAACCCGTTTCTACAAACATTCCTCTCCCCCCCCACCCGTGCCAGGAACAGAACCTGGGCACTAGGAGAAGCTTTCTGGGAGCCCCCCTGGTGAGCTGGCAGAAAGGTTGAGTTGAACCAAAGTTTTCATGAAATCTTTAAAAGTGCAGGCCCATTTCCATGTTAGGAAAAGGGTAATTATGCTCAGCTAATTCCTTCTCAGAGGATCCATTTGCTTTTAGGAGACAATCGTTACTGATCAGTTATGGATCTTGAATAAATCCACAGAACAGAATCTTAGCTAGTCCACCAATGAAGAGCAAGGAGCTGGGCAAGAGACACCCCAACTCTGAGCTTTCCCTCAGGGCGGCATGTAGTTAGAAGCTGGGGGCGGAGCTAGTCAGCGGGCCACCTCCTTGCCTGTCCCAGGTGCTGGCTGAATGGAAAACGAAGTCCCAGGAGAGCCAGGCGGAGCTGGAGGCGGCCCTGAAGGAATCCCGCACCCTGAGCACCGAACTCTTCAAACTGAAAAACGCCTACGAAGAAGCCTTAGATCAACTTGAAACTGTGAAACGAGAAAACAAGAACTTGGAGCGTAAGCAGTTTAACCTCCTGAAACCTCCCTCTCCCAGCTGCCCAGTGTGTGCGGGAGAGGGTGAGCCGGCTCCCATTTCTGTGCCGAACCTCCTGAAACCTCCCTCTCCCAGCTGCCCAGTGTGCGGGAGAGGGTGACGCCGGCTCCCATTTGGGCCCCAGGCTCAAAGAGCGTTCATGGGAGGGGCTATTTTGGGGTCTTTTCCCTAGACCAGTGGTTCTCAACCTTCCTAATGCCGCGACCCTGTAATACAGTTCCTCATGTTGTGGTGATGCCCAATTTCATTGTTACAAATTGAACATAATTAAAGCATAGTGATTAATCACAAAAACAATATGTAATTATATATGTGTTTTCCGATGGTCTTAGGCGATCCCTGTGAAAGGGTCGTTGGACCCCCAAAGGGGTAGCAACCCACAGGTTGAGAACGGCTCCTCTAGAGCATCTTATCTGTAGAAAACAGCGTCCTTAGAATTGTAATAAACTAGTGAAAAGGATTTAGTTGATGCCACCTGCCCGGGAACCCGTGCAGAGGGGTTCAAATGCATCACAACTCACTTCTTTGCAGAGGAGATAGCGGACCTCACAGAACAAATTGCTGAGAATGGCAAAACCATCCATGAACTGGAGAAATCGAGAAAGCAGATCGAGCTGGAGAAGGCAGACATCCAGCTGGCTCTGGAGGAAGCGGAGGTGAGCGGACGCTGGGGTGGCGCAGGCGCCATAAGGCCATGGTGGGTGCCACCCCGGCAGGCTAGCTGGTCCCACCGTCTTCATTGTTGCCTCTGTAGAACCCACAGTCTGAAATCTGCACCCTTCCTATCAAAAAGCATAACTGCGAGGTTGAATGAGATAATACTGTGAATTGTTTTAAATGTATTGGGAAAATCATTACACTTAAAATAGGTCTAAAAATGAGATTTTACAAAATCTTAGATGAGTTTAAAATATGCACAAGGTTTCCCGGCTGTGGTGGCGTAGTGGATTGAGCATTGTCCCATGGACCAAGGGGTCCCGGGTTCGAGTTCAGGTCAGGATACATGCCTGGGTTGTAGGCTCGATCCCCAGTGGGGGGCGTGCAGGAGGCAGCCAATCAATTAGTCTCTCTCATCATTGGTGTTTCTGTCTCTCTTTTCCTTTCCCTTCCTCTCTGAAATCAATAAAAATATATTTTAAAAAATATGCACAAGGTGTTTTACACTCCTAAGAAATATGATCATTGCCCTAGCCGGTTTGGCTCAATGGATAGAGCATCACCCTGTGGACTGAAAGGCCCCAGGTTCGATTCAGGTCAAGGGCATATGCTGGGTTGTGGGCTTGATCCCAGTAGGGGGCGTGCAGGAGGCAGCCAATCAATGATTCTCTATCTTCATTGATGTTTCTCTCCCTTCCTCTCTGAAATCAATAAAAATATATTAAAAAAGAAATATGATCATTTAATGTTATCATTTCCTGATGATATAACCTAAACAAATAGTAAGGAAACATTTCATTTCTGCACTGAAGATAAATTAGGGATTTTGAATTGCAGAGTTAGGGTTACGAACATTCCAGTGAAGCTTTATCACCCAGAAGGGCAGTGTGGCAGGCGTGGCACCGTCCCCGGCACTATTCCCGTGTTTTGTTCTTTAAAGGCTGCCCTTGAGCACGAAGAGGCCAAGATCCTCCGAGTCCAGCTGGAATTGACCCAGGTGAAATCGGAAATCGACAGAAAGATCGCCGAGAAGGATGAAGAGATTGAGCAGCTGAAGAGAAACTCCCAGAGAACGGTGGAGACGATGCAGAGCGCGCTGGACGCCGAAGTGCGCAGCAGGAACGAGGCCATCCGGATCAAGAAGAAGATGGAGGGGGACCTGAACGAAATTGAGATCCAGCTGAGCCACGCCAACCGCCAGGCTGCCGAGACCCTCAAGCACCTCCGGGGTGTCCAGGGACAGCTGAAGGTTCGAGAGCGCTCCGGGTGGGAAACCTCTCCTGCCTCAAACACTCAGAGTTCCTAACGCTGACCTTCCACGAGACCTTCCCTTTTCTCTGGCCAGGACACCCAGCTACACCTGGATGACGCCCTCCGGGGCCAGGAGGACCTGAAGGAGCAGCTGGCGATCGTGGAGCGCAGAGCCAACCTGCTGCAGGCCGAGGTGGAGGAGCTGCGGGCATCACTGGAGCAGACGGAGAGGGCCCGGAAGCTGGCCGAACAAGAGCTCCTGGACTCCAACGAGAGAGTGCAGCTGCTGCACGCCCAGGTGCGTGCAGGGAGGCGGGGAGGCAGGGGGCGACTCAGCAACCCTCCCCCTCAGACGCCTGGGTAACCCCGCTCCTCTCACCCCAGAACACCAGCCTCATCCACACCAAGAAGAAGCTGGAGACAGACCTCATGCAGCTCCAGAGCGAGGTTGAAGATGCCAGCAGGGACGCAAGGAATGCGGAAGAGAAAGCAAAGAAGGCCATCACAGATGTGAGCTTCCCCCAGAGCCTGTGTGGCAGCCCTGACCGTGTCATCAAAGCCCCTGCCCTCTCCCAACCCCGAGACAGTTCCCCTGAGACAGGTGGGGCTCCCCCAGGGCACACGTGGGGTGCATTCTGCTCTGAAACCACTGCCCACCTCCCTCAAACTCAGCTGTCCTCTCCTGCACATTTAAAAGGTGGATATGAGAAATACGGAGCACAGAAAAAACAAAAAGACCGGAAAGGATTACATTCTGTCTCTTATGCCCAAGGGGGCCATGCTCTTCTCTCCCTCCACATATGACTTATTCCACATATAAAAGTGAGACCGACAGCTGTCAATATCCACCACATTTCACCTCACATGAAGCCCTGTGGCTTCCAGTAGCACTGCTTTCTGGGCTCAGATGTCTTCTCACCGAGGCCACAGCGCCCACAGCGCCCACAGCGCCACCTGCTGCCTGAGGAAGACATTACCTTGCAACTATTTTGCTCTCCTGCGGGTTCTGGCACATCCTGATTCCCTAGAGGCCTTCCCTTAAGCTCCCTACCCCCATACCTGTGATGTCAGGTAGCAAAGCAACCTTCGCTACGTTTCAGATCCCTTTGAGAAAATATATTGGTGATCACGAGATAACAAAAGAATTTCCTTGGGTGGGCAAAGTTCCCAGGAGGCCAGTGTAAGAAACGAAGAAAGCATTTCCAGCCAGTCCCCGAGGTTCCTCTCTGTGCCTGGTGTAGCCCATTTCATATTCCCTATGAAGGGCGGGCTCATCACCTTACCCACTGCCCTTTCTGTTAGCGTGGCTCTGGTCCTCTGGCCACCTGGGTTCGGGCAGCTCCTCAGCACCTGACCCCTGCCTGCATCATAGTGGCTGTGATTGGCTTTGTAGGCGGCCATGATGGCCGAGGAGCTGAAGAAGGAGCAGGACACCAGCGCCCACCTGGAGCGGATGAAGAAGAACCTGGAGCAGACGGTGAAAGACCTGCAGCACCGTCTGGATGAGGCTGAGCAGCTGGCCCTGAAGGGCGGGAAGAAGCAGATCCAGAAGCTGGAGACGCGGGTACTCGCCGCGCAAACAGCTTCCCAGCTCCTCCCGTTGGGGCTCCAGCCCCAGACTAACCCCCCAACCGTGTCCCCAGATCCGAGAGCTGGAGCTGGAGCTTGAAGGGGAGCAGAAGAAGAACACCGAGTCCGTGAAGGGCCTGCGGAAATATGAGCGGCGGGTCAAGGAGCTAACTTACCAGGTGAGTGGGAAGGACACCGGGGCCTTTCTGCTCCGTAAAGTGCAAACGACACCTCGGTTCTGTCTTGGAGATACAGGAGGACACGCTTCAGCCCCAGGAGCCTGGCCGGACCTCACGCCGCTCTCCATCCCCATGTTCCGTTTCTAGAGTGAAGAGGACAGGAAGAATGTGCTGCGACTGCAGGATCTGGTGGACAAGCTTCAAGTGAAAGTCAAGACCTACAAGAGGCAGGCGGAGGAGGCTGTAAGTCAGCCGCGTGCGGGGCTCAGAACAGCAGCCGGTGTGTTTCTCGCAGGGAGCGCTCAGGGGGGTGCACGCTGACCTTACCTGCCGGGCGCTTTGGTTTCAGGATGAACAAGCCAACGCGCATCTCACCAAATTCCGAAAAGCTCAGCATGAGCTCGAGGAGGCTGAAGAGCGGGCCGATATTGCAGAATCCCAAGTCAATAAGCTTCGCGCTAAGACCCGAGACTTCACCCCCGGCAGGGTAGGTGGCTCCCGCTGGAGTGAGATGGAGGGCAGCAGATGCGTGTGGGACCCACAGCCCCTGGCGACCTGGGAAGGACCCGCTGTGATGTAGACATTTTTGAACTGGAAGGGGCCTTAGAGAGCCCTCAGCGTTAGAGCTGGTGGACCCTGGGTTCAGGAAGGGAAGGGGTTTGCCTAAGGTCGCAGAGCTGAGAACAGCCCCGCTAGAACCCTGGTCTGAGTCGCACTGAAAGACACACTATTCTGGAAAGGAAGGAAAGGTTCCCACTGAGACCTTTCAGTGCCCTCTGCTGGCACCATCCTCAGTCATGTTCCATGTCGATACCTGTAGGAGGAAGCCCAGTGTGTGGGGCTAGTTCTCTCAGGGCCAGTTTCTTATCTCTGGGTGAGTTCCTCCATGTGTGCCATTGTGCATTCTCCTGAGATCCAACAAATACCCGACGTCCCACTGAAATATACAAGCAAGCCACTGCCTGACGCTCGCCAGCAGAGGGCGCAGGAGGCAACGTGTGGGCCACATGCCCTAACTCAGGCTGCCCGCTGTCTTTGCAGATGGTGGTCCATGAGAGTGAGGAGTGAGCGACCCTCTTCTGGAACAGGGCAGAAGATATGCAAAATGTATATTTTCATGGTACCTGGCCATTTTACTTAATTTCCATGGAACTGCTTTTCACCTGCAATAAACTTTGCTTTGTTTTCAGTCGGGGGCTCTTTCATTGTTTTCTCTTAGTGGTGGGGAAGTGGTTCATTGTTTGGTGATTTTAGTGCTTAATGTTGAAATCTCAGTAAGCAGATGGCTTGATCAACTGGTGCGTGTTTGTGGAGACAGGCAGAGATTGCTCTTGTTCAAATTTGAGATTAGCTCAGAAAGAAAAAGTGCTCCTAGGGTAACCCCAGCTTTGGCAGTGGGAGGAGGAGAGGAGGACGAGTTTGTCAAGAGGCATCTCTCAATATGGCATGTGGGAAACCCAAGTTGAATAGGTTAAAGGCAAGGGATTCCCCTCCCCCAATTCTATCAGGGAACCTCTGGGAAGTCTGCTGGGCAGACTTCACACAAGCACTGTGCTGACTCTTAGAAATGCACAAATGAAGACCATACACGGGGAACCTGCCACTAGGTCCTTGGCTGGGTCTACACTAGTTCAAAGCCGCACAACAGAAAATCTTAGCCCTTACCCAGGGTAAACCTGTCTTTTTCTTAAAAGACAAAATAAGTAGGAAGTCAGAATAACTCTCTGTCTGACCTGCTACTTGAAACAGCGTCTTCTAACTTGGAATCATTTGTTTATTGTCATAATTAAACTTATCAGAAATAGTTGTAAAGTTCCCTTCTTTATCTGGTTCTAGAAGATTGGAGATGACCAGTCTGACTCCAGGAGAATGAAAGGCCCAGGGGGTCTCCTCGGCACCCAGCACCGAGTTCAGCACCTGCTGGATTTGTCATTTATAGAGAGGAGGCCATAATGAGGTCAGACTTGCCTATCAGTGACTTCAGATAATTGTGTCTCAAAGACCACTTTGTGCTGACTTGCTTTCAATACTCCAGGGCAACGATGTGACTAAAGCTGGGATGTCCTCTTGGGGGTGCTGTCCCTGAAAGGGAATCGCAGCAGTGAGAGCGAGTCTGGGCCAGGCCTGAGGCCATGCCATGGGCTGGAGTCCTCAGAGCCTCCCAGGACTTCCTGGCGCTGCCCTCTGTGGAAAGGGCAGGATAGAGAAAGCAAGTGGGGTTTCTCCTTACAGAGCTTTCCAATTGGTAAAGGAGGAATGGAAGAACTAGGATATCGTCATTTTTATGTGACTCACAAATCCCAAGTGAATGATGACTACTAGTATCACCAAAATACAGACAACCAGACATTATATGCCTCATGATAGGAGTGCATGCCATGGCCTGGGGAGAATTCTTGCCCTACAATCTAACTTGTGTCTGACCCAAGTTAGATGTCATCACCAACTTACAGGAAATGCAGGGGATCCAAGACACAACCAATAAACTCAGGATGTGGGGAACTCAACGACAAACCATCTAGTTTTTTCAATAAATAAATTGCAAGGAAAAGATATAAAAGAAATAGAAGGAGGAACTATCGATTATAGTTTAAAATAGATTTAATGGACCTATCCATCAATTGCAGTGCATGAATCTTGTTAGGACACCTACACACACACGGACACACACACACACACACACACACACGTACCCCAATTGGTGGAATTTGGAAATTGACTGAATATTTCATGATGATATGGCATTATCACTTATTTCCAATATGTAATGTGATATTATGATTATGTTTTCTAAGATAGTCCTTATCTTTTAAAAATATGTACTAAACAGATAAGAAAGGAAGTGAGAGAGAGAAAGGAGGGAAGAGGGTGGGCCATCTTTGAAGTGAACTTGTGTTATAGAATTTCTGACATAGAGAATTGAGAAGAGAGGGCCCTGGTGCATTTTACACAAAAGTTGGCCACAAACTTGAAAACCTCTGAGGCGTAAGACCTGACACGCCACTCATGGGCTAAGCATCAAAGACGAGGAGTTGGGGTCTGAAAGCTACCCATGACCATCTCTGTGAGTCTGATTTTGGGAAGGATATAAATGGAAAAATTCATTTTCTAAGCGTTAGTATTATGACCACCTCCGCCAGAGTTCATTTATTCCATAAAGCAAAGGATGCCGGGACTGTAGAAAACACAGCCCTGTTTCAGCGGAGAGAAAAGTGAAAGCACGAATCTCATTCCAAAGAAGGACCCGCTGGGCCACCCCGCAGTAGAGGGAGCCTTGTCCGGGATGGAGAGGATGAGCTCAGCCACTATTTACTGAACTCTTAGCCAGGCTCTCGGCATGTCCTGCCTCACGTCACTGGTGTAACAGCTCCGTGATGACACCATGGGTCTATCACTCTGCTTTCCAGCCGAGAAGAAACCAGAGCACAGTGTAACTTGCTCAAAGCCAAAGTGGCAGAGCTGGGACTCCCTCTAGACCCCACAACTCCTTCACACTACAAGGCGCTGCCCACCGCGCAGCTGTGGGACACGTGAGAAATGCCTTGAGGAGTGAGCCAGGGGCCAAGGTGTGTTACTGTGTATGTTCCCCCATGTCCCGCGTGGGTCAGGGTTCAGGATCTGGAAGAGGAGCCACACACAAATGAAAGAGACGAGACAAGAGATAATTTGGAAATATTAGGGGGCCAGGCGGGCAAGCCCAACTCAAGGAGAAAGACTTCTACTGGTGCCCAGGCCTCGTCAGCCTTTTATTCAATTTTGGGTACACATCTAGCTCTTAGTCAGGCAGGTAATTGCGGTTAGCAGACAGACTATCTTAAAGGTCAGTAAATATTAGAAGGATTTACTCTGAGACTATTTGATCAGGAAATAACTTGAGTCCCCATTGTCAGGACGAGACAATTGGTGCATAACTCTGTCCCTTGCCATGGGTTCAAGGTTCACCAGCATTCCGGGATCCTTGTTTGCACTTCTCTGCTAGTGAAAACAATAGGCAGTCTCCTGCCTGTTACCACTTGGCTGATAAGGCACAAAGCACAGGGTTTTTGTCTTTTTTCTTTTGACTATTTGTGCTACCTTCCTCCAGGCATTCCACTCTAACCCTTCTCTTGCCCACGGCTCAGCCTGCCTGTCTTCTGAGAGTGTCCCTCAGGCCATTGGATCACTCACAGGAGCCTGGTGATCTTCACTCATTGGTGCTTCTACTGGTTCTTTTGCGCAGGAGCCCATGAATAGGAGGCCCCAAAGGGCGAAAGGTCCCCCTTCTCCCAGCTAACTTCTTTGGGTGGAAGTTAAGTAAAGGGCCATTTTAAATTACTTTTTCTAGAAGGACTCACATTTCCCCTTTATTATTATTATTATTATTATTTATTTTGTTTACAGAGAGGAAGGGAGAGGGATAGAGAGTTAGAAACATTGATGAGAGAGAAACATCAATCAGCTGCCTCCTGCACACTCCCTATTGAGTATGTGCCCGCAACCAAGGTACGTGCCCTTGACCAGAACCGAACCTGGGACCCTTGAGTCCGCAGGCCGATGCTCTATCCATTGAGCCAAACCAGTTATGGCTTATTATTATTATTATTATTTTATTTTCCCCACTGTAATCCTTATATTATCCAGAAATCTCTGACTTTCTGAATTCTGTACTGTGACCCAAATCTCTTAGCTATAGATTTCCATTTTTATTATTTTAATAATTTATTAATTACACAAGAAATACATGCTCAAGCACAGGATTAACAGCCACCTGTCAACTATAGAAGGGTGGCCAGCTAGGAGGGTAGGCTCCTTCCTTATTGGGAACAGATGGATCTTGACTGACAATTGGCAGGTGGCCCCTTCTTAAGGACATTGAGGGACGCAGGTCTATAAGAGGAACATGCCCTTAGAGGGGCACAGGCCACCACCAGCTGGGGAGGGGGGCAGCCCCGCCTTTCTCCACGCCTGGGTCACAGTGACAGCTGAGAGCTTTAATAGAGCGAAGGGCCTTGGAATGTGGGCCGAGGAAGCCACCCAGAACACGGAGTCTATTTCCACCCGGCCAGTAATCCCACCGCTAAAAACAGCGAGGCTGAGAGGCCCTGCGGCTGCTTGCTGGAGCCCCGCCGGCGATCCGGTTACCCCCGCGATGCTGAGACATTCCGGAGGCGCTCAGGGCCCGGCAGCAGCCCCCGGGAGCGGGGCCCAGATGGCGCTGGGTATTTTTAGCTAAGATGTTTCAGCCCTTCCATGGCAGTGAGCAAGGAGCCCCGGCGCCTGGGCATGGGGGGCCTTCTCCATGTTCTCCCTCCTTCAGGAGCCTCGCAGAGATGTGGGGAGCAGGTAATAGGCACCCCAGGCCACCTTGGTCAAGTACCCTGACACCAGCTTGCTGAAAGAAGGGGCAGCTTTGGTAAAGAACATGGACTGCTGTCACCAGCACAAGGCAACCCAGTGACCCAGCAATACAACTAAATGAGACCGAATGTGAAGCTCAAGGACAGTGAAGGAAATGTAAATCATAATGATGAAAAACAGAGTCGTGGGAAACTGAGGAATGGGATGGGTGACATGCTTTTATAGCCCGAGACCAAAAGAAAGCCGATCCCTCTAGCAATGAGCACAGTGGTGTGTACACAGCAGGTGCTCAATGAGTGCTTGAACTGGATTCCTAGGAGAAAAAGTGAAGTGGTGGGGGAATCAGGTGCCCTGGAGTAAAACACATGCTTTCTATGCTGATTTTCTGCTCCGCACAGCCTATAGAATAAAAGGCTAATATGAAAGTCGACCAGTGGAACGACTAGTTGCTATGATGTGCACTGACCACCAGGGGGCAGACACTCAACGTAGGAGCTGCCCCCTGTTGGTCAGTGCGCTCCCACAGCCAGCCTCCTATGGCTGGCCAACCTTCCATGGTCCTTCCCCCCTGACCAGCCAGCCCAGATTGCCCCGATCAGGACTGGGTGAGACGGCCCTCATCAGCCCTGATTGCTGGCCAGGCCAAGGAACCCCACCCATGCACAAATTCATGCACCGGGTCTCTAGTCAGTGATAAAAACCATAATAAGCCAGAAGCCGTTCTTCACAAATCTGTGAGCAATCCCAGCCATGAACTTGATTTTCTTGGCTTTCTGAAGCAACGGGTGTGGGCACAGCTGTTCACAATCCCCGGGCTGATAAG